AACTGCCAGGGCACAGGAGGGGGCACGTTATAAACTGAATTGTGGCCCCCCACAAAATACATGTTATAAATCCTAGCCCCTATCTCTGTGGTTAAGGAGCCCTGGTGGCGTACTGGTTAAGCACTTGGCTGCTAACCCAAAGGCTGGCGGTTCGAACCCACCAGCCGCTCCGTGGTGGAAAGATATGGCGGTCTGCTTCCGTAAAGATTACAGCCTTGGAACCCCTATGGGGCAGTTCTACTCTGTCCTATAGGGTTGCTATGAGTTGGAATCAACTCAACAGCAATGGGTTTGCTCTGGGTTATACCTGTGGTTATAACCCCGTTTGGGAATGGGTTTTCGTGGTGACATTAATGAGGCAGTATTAGGGTAGGGTGTGTCTTGAGTCAATCTCTTTTGAGGTACAGGCAGTCCCCAGGTTATGATCCTCCGACTAACATATAACCCGTAGTTATGAAACAACTCCCGTAAAGCCTATTACATTAAAAATTCGAGGTACATATAATGCTTCATAATAACAAATGGGCACTACTTTGCAACGCACATCAAAACATTATTATTATTACTGTATTATTACGTTAAAGATGCTTTAGTGTACCTGGAAGTGTTTCTTTAATGGTTTTTATGCATAGGAAGGTACATTATATCCTATATACTAAGACAAACATTTGACTAACTGACGTTAGGTACGAACCATAGTGAACGGCTCCGACTTACGTACAAATTCGACTTAAAGACAGGCCTAGGAACGGAACTCGTGTAACCTGGGGCTGCCTGTACAGTGAAACCAGTGAGAGCGGAACTCGATGGGACTGGCTTGTTTTACCGGGTCTCAGAAGTTTTCTGCCTTGACAGGGTGCATGCAGCCTTACCGCTTTTCTATCGCTCTCTATGAGTGCAAATACTTGAGTTTTCCCTCTCTGACAGGTTTCGGACTTACCTAGCTTCCGGCTTTCACAGGTTTTACTGTATAAAAGAGCAGATTAAGCGAGGAAGTAAGCAAGCACCAACGGGAAAATACGCGCCACATGATCACCAAGGAACGAAAGCTGAAAAGAGACGAGGACCTTCCCCCAGCGCCGACAGAGAGAGCGAGCCTTCCCCTAGAGCTGGCGCCCTGAATTTGGACTTCTAGCCTCCTGAATTGTGAGACGATAAATTTCTGTGCGTTAAAGCTGCCCACTTGTGGTATTTCTCTTATAGCAGCACTAGTGAACTAAGACAGGGAAACTGAGGCACAGAGAGACAAGGCCACCTGCCCAGGTTGGCCTGGATTTGCAGGCTGGGCTCCTAACACTCTGCTCAGCTGGTCAGGGCCGTGTCTGCTTCCTTCAAACTCTCCAGGACCCAGCGGGCATAGTTGTTGTTGGATGCTGTTGAGTTGATTCCAACTCATGGTGACCCCTTGTGATAGAGTAGAACTGCCCCATAGGGTTTCCTAGGCTGTAATCTTTATGGGAGCAGATCGCCAGGACTTTATCCTGCGGAGCTGCTGGGTGGATTTGAACCGCTAACCTTTAGGTCAGCAGTCCAGCACAAACCATTTGATCCATCTAGCGATCCTGCATTTTATATGTTGTTGTTAGGTGCCGTTGAGTTGATTTTGGCTCATGGTGGCTCCATATGACACAGGAGAACTGCCCCCTAGAGTTTTCTAGGCTGTAAACTTTTGGGACGATTAACAAGAAGACCTTCAGTGAGATGGACTGACACAGTGGCTACAACAATGGGCTCAAACATAGCAATGATTGTGAGGATGGTGCAGGACCGGGCC